GGGTTGCAATCCCGTTGCCGGTCCCGGTCCGGTACGGGAGCAACACCGAGGGTTGCAATCCCGTTGCCGGTCCCGGTCCGGTACGGGGGCAACACTGAGGGTTGCGATCCGTTGCCGGACACGGAAAAAGACAAAAGACAAAAAAAAAAAAGAAAAAAAAATATGTTGCTCCAATAATTGGGGCCTGAAACACAAACTAATCATTAGATCTGCTAAGGTGCTGCTTTATAAAAAAGAAAAAAAAAAAGATCCTTTTAATCATATAGCATACTACATTCATTATAGGTATACATGGTCTTCAAATTTAAAATTTTGGCTAATGAATCTGTTGATTAAGGCATGCTGGCAAAAAACAAACAAATAACCAGAACAGGCACAAGAATGTAGTCTACTTTAACATAAAATGTGTCATGCAAACTAACTCCACATTGGTCCTATCACTGTTAGGTTGCCCCAGCTGAAATAAAAAACACAAATAGGACGCACATATCCAAAATTGGTTTTAATTATCATTATAATTATTACTGGCAAGCATCACAATGACCTGGATAAATACTCGTATTGGAAGTAAAAAGGACTGTATTGCCTTCAAGTATATACTACAGTAATTATCAAAAAATATGGCCACTGTAATGCAAAATAGTGTGTTCAAGTTATTTTAAATATATGCCCAAATATAAAATCTGACACATGCCATTAGTTAGAAAGATCTAAGATATTTCGTAAGTAGTTTCACAGAATATTACGTGCAAAGCAAAAAATGCCAAAAGGATATACAGAGAATAATAATATATGGCATTATCCTAAAGAAAAAAAGAGAAAAGTGAGGGAATAAGAACAGAGGCTTGCAAGAAGAGCGAATTTTCCTCATTTTTTCTTGCTATCTATCCCTTTATATTAATCCAAATAGTTCACTAAAGATAAGGAAAAAATGTTTGCCATATCTAAAGTTTTGTTTTTCTTTAAAATTGTTAAATGCATCATTTTCACTGATGTGATGGAGAAGAGTTTCAGGTTTTACACTAACAGTTTATAGTAAAAATTGATGTTCTGTATCACATATAGATTTTTAGGAAAGTTTTAAAATGTTTAAAAACATGAATATTTGAAAACTTAAATTGTACCTAGTTTTTTTAAAAGGCAAAGCTAATGAAAGACACAAGTATTACTTTTAACAACTGATATAATATTTGAACCATACATATCCTAGTTCCTTTTTAACTCTCATCCTACTTTATGCTAAAGCCAAAGAAAGATTTGGTCAGTAATCTTCAACCCAATGCAATATCCCAGCTAATTACATATGCTTAAAGAAATGACTGATGTTGCAATATATTGAAAATGTTGTCAGAACACAGTTTATGTATGCCCTAGACATGAAGCTACTATATCCTTTCTTCAACATTCTGCATATTAATTTCTTTAGATTTTTATGTCTAATATGATTAAGCATACTGCCTAAGATTAAACTGAAAAAAATCTCACCTTGGTTCCATTGCATCCGGGGATACCTTGAGGTCCTGGGGCCCCATCATGGCCTGGCATTCCCTTTGAAAAGGGATATAATAAATGTATAATATTTCTTAGATTACTTTTTATGGGATTTTAAAATAAAAAGCCAAATTCTACTTACAGGAAGACCTGGTGTCCCTGGAAATCCAGGAAGTCCAGGAGGACCCTATAAGAAGAAATAGATTCCTTGATCCAAATCACAACCAATAACAATAAAATAATACTCTACCTAATAGTTTGCCTAAGGGTATCATGAAAATTATATTGAGAATGGAAATGGACAAAATGTGTCTCCCAGATTATTACCACTCATTGTTTTTTGGAACATTAGAGAAAAATCTCCTATATGTATTTAAAAGTCTCTTAAAGAAAACTATAGAAGAAAGTCCTATTTGAGGGAGCATTGTCTTCATTATACTTAGTAGGAAAAGGCAAATTAGTAGATAAAATGACTCCTCCAACAGATAAAGTTCTCCCAGATTTGTGATGAATAATGAATTCAGCAGGGGATGGGGAAGTGGCAAATATATTTGCCCTTGAGGACATTAATGTGATCACCCAAAAGATTCTTCAATTAAATTTCCCTGTCGGGACTGGCAAAAATATAAGTTTGACAACACTCTCTGTAAGTTATTAGGCTATGAAAAAAGGCACACTGCTAATGGGGATTCAAACACTGTGGAAGGACATTTGGAAATATCTAGGAAAATCACACGTGCATTTTACTTTTTGACTTAGCAACTTACTTCTAAGAATCTATCCCAAAGATACACTAGAAAGTTTGAAACAAAATATACCATTTAAGGTTATTGATTACAGCGTTATTACAGCTAAAGTTTAGAAACAACCATATAACCGTAATTGTAGCTAAAGATTACAAACAACCAAATGTCCACTAATAAGGACATCACTAAATAAATTGTGGTATATCCACATAATGTAAAACTATGCAGCTGTTAAAAAAGTGAGGAAGATATCTGCACACTAGAATATGTATTGATCTCTAGATATAATATTAAGTAAAATAAGCAAGGTGTAAGAAGTGTATATAATATGCTACCTTTTTATAAGAAAGGTGGTGATACTAGACAATAAAAAGATAACCGACAATATCGAATAGAGTACCCCTAGGAGGAAGGAGGAAACAGAGTGAGGGGATGGCAAGGATGAAAGGGAAGCATCTCTGACTACACCTTGTCTTATAGAACCATGTAAATGTTTTAAGTAATTAAAATTTAAATTAAAAAAGGGTAAAAATGAAATTGTTAAAAAATTGAAAACAAACTGAAACTGGTGAACCTATTTCAAGTCGTTTACATAACCATATAGAGAAAAGGATTACTTTAAGAGCCCTTCATCATGGCAATTTTGACTCTAATTCCTTAGTGAAATTAGTCAACTCAAAGGGAAAAACATAGCAAAGAAATAATTAAAGACATTCAATAATCCTATTATTACTATTAAAATTGAAATTATTTTGTTAATTTAATGTTATTTTGAAGCTATTATAGGTATATTTTAAGAGAAAACAAACATGAAATTATATTAATGTCATTAGGAATCAAGATTTATACCTTACGAGAGGTGAGGGGGAGAGATAATAAGCATATAAAAACTTTTTTATTTTAAATTTTGATTGGAAATAATATGAACTCATAATATTTTTTCCTCTAAAAAAATACATATTTCCTAACTCTTCACTGAAAAGGTATCAAAATAATGACAAACCCAATAGCAATGAAAACCCCTAACATTCAGACTGTGGTATCTAAATCACATTTTTCACTAAAAACAACATGGAATCAGAGACATGGCCCATTCCAGATCGAGAAAGGAAATGCAGAAGATAAGTGTGAAAGGTCTTGTGCCAGAAAGCAAGGAAGTGATGAAAGATCAACTGAATTTTGGCAAAAGGACACAGGACAGGAGCCAACTTGAAGGGGCTGACACAGGCCAAAGATGGGACAATCTGGCCTCAAAAAGAATAATGATAATTAATTAAAACATAAATTACATTAGTTTATAATAAAAAAAATTCAAAAAACCTTCCTTGATCACTACTTGAAATTGCTGGTGTAGTATTCATTACCCTACTAGAATCCCAGCTGATAAATTAGAATTCCAGCTAATGAAAGAAGGATGGATAAAAATTTAAAAATCACCATTTTGCAACTCTGAACAAAATAACAACCATCAATGGATGCTAAACCATTATATGAAAGTTGATGGGGAAATTTTTGATGAAGAATCAGGCTGACGTTATCTGAGATTACTGATCAAACCTAGCATCAAAAAAGTGGGATAGCCAGATATTTGTGCCTCATGATGTAATTCAATAGTATGCATACACAGTAACTATATTCTTTTTCTATTTCCTTTAATTTTATTTCAGTATGATTTGCATACAGTAAAATACACAAATCTTAAGTGTACATCTCCTTCTGTGCCCCCAGAAAGTTCTGTAGTGTCTCTTTGAAGGCAACCTCCAATTTGCAGGAAATATGGGGGACAGAGGAGCAATTTAAATAACATCATAAGGAAGCAATCAGCCAAATCCAGAATGCAGAACACAGTACAATACAAATGACCCAATTTCTCCAATGGTATAATAAAAGTTTAAGAAACATAGCAACCAAATGCAATATTTGATACTTGCTTGGAATGTGATTGGAACAAACCAACTGTAAGAGAACATCTTTCAGACAATTGAAGAAATCTGAACATGGACTAAGTTTCAGAGTATATTGAAAAATTATTCCTAATTTTTTTAAGGTGTAATAATGGTTATGTGGTTATCAGAGAGGCACACTGAAGTATTCATTGGTGGAATGAATGATGTGAGAGATTTCCTTTAAAACATTACAAAAAATATGTGGTAGGGTATAGATTAAACAAAAATGTAAAAATGTTTATAATTTTTGAGGCTCGGTGATGGGGTACCTGGGGGCTCATTGTACTATATTCCCTGCATATTTGTGTATGCTTAAAAATTTTCAGAATAGTAAGTCTTAATATCTGCATGTCAAGAGTTGCTTGTGAACTGAGACCTGAGGACGCAGGATCAATAAGGCCATCTATTCCCAAGCACTTCCGTAGTTCTAGTTGAGGGACACGAACTATCTAAGCACTCACAAATATTTGTTTTTAGTATCAACAATGCTTAGGATATAGTTAACAGTAGCCATAGCTATTATGAGATGTTATGATTATTGTGAAGAGCTTTAGTAGTATATTGATATCCATTTATTATAGAATAACAAAGAATTATGTCTGCTAAAATAAACTAAGAGTTTTGGGTTTCTTCCCTGCTTTCCCAGTACCCTATCCATACCAGTCTTAAGAAGGACATAAGGCAAGCTACATGTTAAGAAGTACATAGCAAACAGAATGTTTTAAATGTTTATGTAAAATTTGTACATTTACTAAATTTCTGAAGATCAAAGGATCATTATGTCTGGTGTCTTTCCCATATACATGCTCTGTCACCACCCATGTATTTTATATTCAAATTAAGGGATCTCACCAATTTATGAACACAGAATTTCAGAGCTAAAAGGGACCTTGGAAATTATGCCATTTAACTCTCTGAGTTAACAAATGAAGAAACTGAGGCTCACAAAAGTTAAATATGATTTTTTAAAAACCAGCACTATTTTAAAACTACAATCTCCTCTCAATTTTAAAACACACTGTAAGATGTATGTTGACCTAAAGCTTTTGAGAAAAAAATTACAACTACATGTGCATTTCAATTTTCAGATGCATCCTGATTTTCAGAATCTTAAAACTTGAAAAATCATGCACGTTAGAATTGAGAAAATGTTGTATTCTTCCAAATGTAGTTATTTTTTAACACAGTGATCTAAACAAAACTTATTCTCATCAAAATACACACAATAAATTTATACATATACACTGGGAGGGTATCCAGCCTAAAGTGGCCAGCCCTATGAACCTCAGCAGGCTAAGATGATCACACTGGTTGGTAAGTTCTGGTTTAAGCCAATTCTATGATACAGATTTTCAATAAACTGACGAATTGTTAGAATTCAGCATTTTCATGTTTCTTAACCACAAACTACTTTAAAATCATTTTATATAAATTTAAATATACACCTTGATATAGAAAGATAACTATCAAAATAGTAAAGAAAGGCTAGTTGTAGACAAATACCAACTTTTAAATAAATCTAACTTCTCAAAAACTGTATTTTTTTTCCTGCATTTCAATATGGGTCTTTTCCAGTTGTCTAATAATACTTCATTTGCTTTGTATCTGTTTGTTCCAACAAAGCATTTGCTTACAACGCATATTGCTTACTCTGATTCCTTTTGGTCCTGGTGGCCCTGGAATTCCATCATCACCCTGAAAAATACAATATATTTAGTTCTTTTGTATTCTAAAAGAGGCTTCAAATAACTAATTTTTGATAATAAAATAAGAGACTTAAATTGTTACAAACATTTGTGAAAGTTAATGAGAAATTTATACACCCAAGGAAGAAGCATTTATTATTGAGACTGAAAGCACTGAGGTAAACTATATGAACAAAAATAAAAATGCCTTTATTTACTGAGAAAAAAAACTGTTTACATGTAGAAGAAACTTTATTCAAGAAAACAAAGATGAAATAGCAGTATAGATATTATAAACAAAATAACAGCTGAAAATCTGGGCAGTTTCCATACTATGTCAATCTGCTTGCCATTCTGCATAGCATCATCTCTAAGCCCATATATGTGCTGTTCTTGAATTTGCTGTTTTAAACCTTTGCTTTGTTTTATAAGGCACTTTCTTCTAGCAGAGTTAAAGAAAGAATGAGAACCATAAACTTTCCTTTCTAGCTTCTGTTGTCGATGCCATGAAAGAGAGGCTACCCATGAGAGTGTGAATTTATTTACCCATTTCTAGTCACAACTGCATTGCTGAGAATTTAAAGTCTTGCCTCACTAAGTTTTCTTTTCAAAATGGAATAAAGAAAACCAAATTCTGCTCCAAGGGAAAGGAATTTCAGTGGAACACACAGTTAGTAGGCCACTGCCTGAGGCTTTATACAGCTTTTATTAAACTGGCACACGGTGCTTTAGACAAGTGGTTTCCAAGCCAATCAACTCATACCCCTAGAGGTTATGCCAGAGGTTCTTCAACGCTTATGTGACAGCCTTCCTTCAATCACAGCAGCTCTATTTTTATCTGTTTTATGTGTGGCTTCCACATAAAGTTTCATTTGGAGAAAGGGTTATCTGGTATATTAGTGTTCTTTTGCTGCTGTAACAAGATACCACACACTTAGAGGTTTAAACAACATAAATTTATTATCTTACAGTTCTGGAAGTCAGAAGTATGACAGTGACATCAGTGGCAGAACTGTGTTACTTCTGGAGGCTGTCTGCATTCCTTGGCTCATGGACCTCCTCCATTTTCGAAGCCATCAACGGCTGAATAAATCTTTCTCACATCACATCACTCTGACACTGACTCTTCTGTCTCCCTCTTCCACATTTAAAGAACCCAAATGATTACACTGGGCCCACCCACATAATCCAGAAAAAAATATCCCTAGTTTAAAGTCAGCTGATTAGCAACTTTAATTCCACCTGCAAACTTAATTTTGCTTTGCCATGTAACCTAACATTCACAGGTTCTGGGGATAAAGATGTGAACATTTTGGGGGTTGAACATTATTCTGCCTACCATACCCTGTTTTTTAAAAACTTTAACAATCTACTCTTTCCACAACAGATGTATTTCAAAGAGATCAAAGTAAATCAAATTTCATTTTAAAACAACTGAAAGAACTTTATAGTTCAATGAACCTTTTTGTGCCTTTCCACTAAAGGCAGAATTAAGAAAAGAATTCCTTAATATTGGACCGGTTGTACCAACCAACTTAAATAAGAGAAAGAAATCTGAGGTATAAAAAATAGAAAGGACGAGATACAACTACCATTATTTACAAATGATGTGATCGTATGCCTGGAAAACCCAAGATAATTAAATGAAAAACTATATTCGATATGTTAATTCAGTAAAATAACTGAGTATAAAATTAATATTAAGAAATTAATAGCTTTCTTATACCAATAACTACCAGTTAGAAGACATAATAGAAGAAAATACCCAATTTACAATAGTAAAAAAAAAGATAAAATATTTAGTAACAAACTTAACAGGAAATGTACAAGATGCATAAGAAGAAAAATTTTAAACACTTCTGAAGTCCACAAAGGGAGACTGGAACAAATGGAAAGGCATTCCATGTTCCTGGAGAATAGAACTCAACATTTAAAAAGTCAATTCTCAACAAATTTAATTACAAATTTGATACAATAAAAATAGCAATAACATGAGTTTTTTTTGTTTTTTTTAACCAGTAAGATGACTCTAAAGTTCATATGGAAAAATAGACAGTCAAGAACATTGAGACAATTTTTGAAAAAAAATAAAAGAGCAGTAAGGGGACACTAGCCCTGTAAGATATAAAAATATAGCATAAGGCCTCAATAATTAAAATAGTTTGGTTCTGATATTTGAATAAGCAGACCATTGAAAGAGTATAGAAGATTCAGGAACAAGTCCATACGTTCACGTGAATTTAGTATATAATGAAAGAGGCAATGCAAATCAGTGGGGAAAATGATGTTGGGCCACAGTTGTGACATTATCTGGAAAAAAAAAGTGGCTCTTATGTCACAAACTATACACCAAGACAAATGCCACATGAGTAAAATGCTTACACATAAGAAATGAAATCATTAAATTACTGGGAAAATATGGGAGTATTATTATATAATCTTATAGTAGAGAAGGCATTTCCTACTCAAAGTCCACAAGCCGTAAAAGAAAAGATCTTTGAAAAACACACATACAGACACGTAAATACACATGCATACATGTGCACACCCAGCAAAGACAAACGACAAACGGGGAAAATAATTGCAACTCACAGTACAAACAAAGGGCTAATCTCCCCAATATATAAACAGCCCATGGAATATGAAAACACCAAAAGTTCAGTAGGAAATGAGCAAATGATATGAATAGACAGGTCGCAGAAAACACAAATGATTCTCAGACCTGTGAAAAGTATATTCTCGCTCATATAAAGATAAATGCATTGAGATGATTTTTTATCTATCAGATTGGCATAAATCCAAGTTTCATAATAGTGTTGGTGAAGCTATAGGTAAATAGATCTTCTTGCATATTGCTAAAACAAGGGCAAATCATACAACTTTGAGGGTGACAATTTGGCAATATCTATAAAAAAATATATAAATACATGTACCCTGTGATCCAGCATTACAGCTTCTAATAATTTATCTTACAGAGTTAATTCCTTATTGGTGAAAAGACATCTGTTCAAAGTTATACGTCTTAGCAGCACTGTTTGCAGTAGCAAAAAATTGAAAATTATCTAAATGATCATCAATAGGGGACTGATTTAATAAATTATGGTTTATATACAAAATAAATATAATGCCATTATAAAAAATGATGAGGAGATTCTGTCTTATCCTGATATGAGATACCTATAATGTACATTAAATGAAAAATGAAGGTCAAACAATGTGTTGAATATGCTGCTATTTTATAAACAAAGGGGGTAAAAGTGTGTTTGTAACTCGAACTGTGGACATAGTTGGGAAGGAGATTTTTTCATTGTATACTTTCTTATGTTAATTTATTTTGAATGAAGCGAATATATTGTCTATCAAAATTAACTGAATTTTACAAATAAAGAACTACTTTAGAAAATTTTATATATATTAATGTACATATATATTTGTTATATATATCTTTACTTTTACATATAGGAGTGTACAGATTAAAGAATAATAGTAGGGTTCCTTTCAGGGAGATGGTGGACTAGAGCACATTCCTCCAACAGAAGATCAAAATGGGCCCACCACCACTGCTGCCCCAGTCACTGGAGGCATTGTCCCATCTCAGAACCATTGCCTGTTGCAGAGCAGTTCCCCAAAGAGCAGCAGTCCTGCAGGTGGCTCATCACTGCAGCTGAAGACACCACAGACACAACCACTACTGCTGCTGCTGCCACTACAAAGTAACCTCACTGTGTCCAAGGACACCGCAGATGCAAGGGAGGCAGTGGCAGCTGCCCATACCACTAACACCACCACGAGGTACCCCACTGCAGATAGCCTAGCAGCATGGGTCACCACTGCAGACACCACAGCCAAGTGGGTAGCTGCTGCAACAGCCACTGCTGCAACGGCCACTGCTGCAGTCACTAGAACCACCAGTGCCGTGAGACAGCCAACATTGTCATGTGAGCTGCCTGCCACCACTGGAGCCACCGCTGCCACACAGTGGACTGCCAACCACTTGACCACATTGACACAAAGAGGGTTACCAGCAGAGTCCAGGGAAGGAGTTGAGCAAGTGCAGACCTGTGACCCAGTGTCCCAACCCTTAGGGGAAATTACACTGCCACTCCAAAGTGGTGCACCTGGGGGTGGGAGCTATGTGGGAAGCCCAGGCAACTGCCTTGATCCAGGGAGAGACACACATGGAAATCCTGGAAAGTGCAGAAACCCAGGATAGTCAGAGTAAGGAACAAAATTGCTAGTGCACCTATCAGGGACAAGGGACACTACTCAGGGTGCCAACAAGCCCGCCCACAGTCACCCACCCCAATAAAAGAGGGACAGGACACCAAGGTGCTTCCCACAAGAACTTATCATCTCACCCACATCCTCAGTGACCCAACGTAGTGTCCATAACCTCAGCAAGGAATCACTAAGTGCCCCAGTGCCTAGGTAAAGAAGGTAGTCACACACAACTCCAACAATGACTGTGGCTGAAGTACCCCCGCAGAGACTATACCACTGTGCCTACCTGGAACCACCCTACTCAACGGTAAATATAAAACATCCATAGGAGCTGCTCTCCTCCAAGCTCACTCTAGAGTAATAAAAGAAGCAACTGCTCTACCAGATGACCAGACATCAACATAAAGACACTAGAAATATGTAAAAACAAGAAAATATGAGTCCACCAAAGCAATACAATAACTCTCGAGTACCAGACCCAATAGAGCAGGAAACCCTTGAAATGACTGAAAAGGAATTCTGAGCAAAAATCTTAAGAAAGCTCAATGAGATAAAAGAAGATACAGATGACACAATGAACTAAGCAAAACTATCTAAGACATGAAGGCAGAAATTCACAAAGAGATTAATACATTAAAAAAGAATGTAGCAGAAATCATGGAACTGAAGGAGTCAATAAACAAAGTAAAAAACAACAGAGAGTTTAAGCAGCAGGCTAGATAGAGCAAGCAAGCAGAAGAAAGAATTTCTGTATTGAAGACAGTCTTTTTGAAATAACTCAGGCAGACA